CACATAAACAAAGTATTCATAGAACTAGTACATTTTAAAGGAAAATAGTACATTTTTTGAAGGCGCTTCAGTACGTTTTGAAATTTCATTGCGGCAACACTGGATATAGGGCTTGCAGTCAAACGACCTGTTTGCCTCTTTAGTCAGACACCCGTGACAGTAAGTATAGATTTCAAAAAGGATATTGCAAAAATTACAGCCCTGCATTCTCACAATGCCATGCTCCAATTTTTAATCATATTTTTAATTTACTTAATTTAAAATATATTTTATTCACCTCAACTTAGTAGTGGCTGGCCCCAGTACATCATGTTTCCTTTAGCAATGGAGTCGTGCCAGTGATGTATCTAATATCTTTCGAGAGAAAATACATGAATTGAAATTACGTGACTTCCAGTTGGCATCGAAAGCTCCAATATAGTTAAACGGAGCATCTTGCCCCTGAGAATTCTAATTCTGGGCGCGAGTTTTAAATGGATATTCTGCAAAAAGAGGAAGGTGTCTTTGAACAAAAATTCGATAAAGGTATAGAGAAAGGTATAGGGAAAACAATTCGAACTGGCAAAAAAACCTACCTAAAGCTGGCTTTAAGTAGGTTTTTTGCCACTATACTACAACTCTCTATTACCGCTCTCCAGACAAAGGAAAGAGAGAGACAGAAACACAGACAGACGACAGTGAGAATTTATAGGGGTACATTTTTTTTAAAATTGCAGTACAATCACATATATGAAGCGGGAAATGACTACATATTTTTTTAAGTAAAACTACGTGCTTTTATCAACGCTATTTGGCAAAAAAAACTGATCTTATCTGATAAAGAAACATTGAAAGATTTTTTATATAAACAACACTTTTGCAATTACTCTTCGACCTATTTAAGCAACACGAACTTTATATATTAATTTATAATAACTGATTCTTCTTATCACTTAAATAAACTTCACAAGTATAGTTAAATGGAGCCTCCTGCCCCTGAGAATTTTAAATCTGGTCGCGAGTTTTACCTATCTATCACCGCTCTCGAGATGATGAAAAGAGAGAGAGAGAAAAACAGAGGACACTGAAAATTTATAGGGCTACAATTTTTTCAAAATTGCAGTGAAATCACATATCTGAAGCGGGAAGTGACTACATATTTTTAAAAGTAAAACTACGTAGTTTTATCAAGATTATTTGGCAAGAAAACTAATGTTATCTGATAAAGAAACATTGAAAGATTTTTTATATAAACAACACTTTTGCAATTACTCTTCGACCTATTTATGCAACTCGAACTTTATAAATTAAAATTATAAATTATTATAAAATGAAAAAAAAAAAGTTCGTTTTCACAATAGAGTTGAAAATTACTGTATATTTAAAAATAATTTTGATTATACTCGAGATAAGACACACAATCCCCTTCATCATATATTTAGTGAATTAAATAGAAATTATGTAAATAGTAATTTATTTGTAGCATAGTTTCACTAAATTTTGACTAATTCTACATAAATATAATACCGAATTGAAGTAGTTGCTCGCTAGCTTCTTTTATTATATTAAGTAATTAATTGTAATATATTTATCAATTTTCATACAATCCATCGTTTTAAATGAAGTGTAATATTTTTATTGTAATATATATTAAGTTGTAATATGCAGTGTAATAAAAGGAATTTATATTTTTAGTATAACATAAACCGTAAAATGTTTCTATTATATCAGTAACGTACCATTTTCTTAATATCATAATTAAACTGTTTTTCATTTCAAGGTTTTTTGAATATAAATAACTGAATAAACCTTTACACTTCAATATGCTAATAATTTTTGTGTGGTAGATGTATAGACTTTTTAAGTAATACTGCAGACTCAGTTTATAGCTCATCTCACATGCGAGATATTAATACAGAATGGAGGGGAAACAGAAGAGTAACCCATTCGATTCAGCTGGTATTTTTTCTCGTGCGTTTTTCTGGTATGTAAAATTATTTAAACGTTTTTATAATTGTTTAGTAAACTCTTTAATAATGTGACTTTAGTTCTAAGTTAAACATGCAATTTTTTTCGAAAAAAAAACAAAAGAAAAGTATAGGAATCGGTCAAAAATGATCCCCCTTAATATTTTTACATTTTTTGGACTCAGGACAACTTTAAACGTCGAAAAATGCAAAAAACTTGGAGAGTTTATCTTGTATGTATGGATGTCAGTGTATATGTATGTGCGTGGCACGACTTTGTTCGTCCTGTTTGGAGCATATTTACTTCTGTGCTTTTTGTCAAAAATTTTGCGATTTCTCAAGGAGATTTAATTATTTAGGAGAATTAAGGCTATTAAATTGTGATTATTAATAGCCGAAGGAGACATAAAGGGGATTGTGTGTCATATCTCTAGTAAAATCAAAATTATTTTTATTATAATTTGAAACTGTACTGTGAAAACCAAGTTTATTGTCATTTTATAATAACGTATAAAGACGTGAATTTTAAATACAATTTCATAACAGATGACGTTATCAAATGTTGCCGGAAGAGTTAAGCAACTCTTTGGTGAATTTGTATAATGTCATTAGTTTTTATAGGTATGCGCATAAATTTTCTATTATTTTTGTATTTAAGTGTTACAGAACCGGAGAATCAACAGCAAAACCTGCTGCTTGCACGAAATTGTAAAACTTATATATTGATAAGGAATTGATGTGTAGTTGACAGAACTCAGATAAATATAACTTTAAATATTTTCTCAGTCCAACAATTAGGCCTATACATTGTTATAGTAGATATTGAATTAGTTTATATTTTATTCCCATATATTATTCAAAATATATTTCAAAAGTCAACTTTATTATTTATTTCTTTGTAATATCTTATACAGTATAAGTATTCATGCAGTAGAAAGATGGAAGTTTCTATAAGGAATTTCAGTTAAGATAAATTATTATGCCTTGCATAATTATACTGTTATTTTCACTAAGTTTTATTTTTTTTGGGAACAGACAAATCTATCATCTATAATTTAGGTAATAGCTGGCTATTTATACAATAAAATATATTTTTGCGTTGTAATGAAAATTTGTCATTAAAACTTTGATTCATGTATTATCAGGATATAAATTTTAATATGCGATCTTATAAATAACGAACGACGAAGTATACATATTAGTAATATTTAACACCTACATTTATAACGCAATTTACTAAAAGAATGATTGGTAAAACTGAAAAATGGGTTTTAAAAATAAAACAAATTTATCGTTTTTTTGAGTTATACGAAATTAATATATTAATATAATATATAAATTTATAAGAAGAGAAAATATTTAACTCGAGAAAACTTTATTTAATTTACGTTTTGAATTTGTCACAATAAAAATTCAGTTGTTGACAATATACGTTGAATAATTTAAATATCGCTTATTCACGTGGCAATTAATCGGGAATTTTTGAAGGATGTTTTTTTCTAAAAATATCTACGAGATAAATACTTTTCAAATAACATATTTATATTTTACATGCTTCAACCATGATTTAAAATAAGGAATAAAATATTTTGTTGATATTAAGTTAAAGTTGTTTATATATGAGCAGATTAAATTCGTCTCCATAGATCTTGTTATTCTTCTGGTAGTTGTGCCTCTACACACAGATTCTTTTTCTCTTTCTTTGTACATATATATAATATAAAATGTAAATTATAATATACAATATAATATAATATATTATTATATAGTACAAATATATAATTCTAAAATCCGACTCTTTTATTTCCCTGTTAAAAGAGCGTTACAGTGCGTCTAGGAGTCAATAGATAATAGCGGGTGTAATCATAACATTACATCATCGATGTTGGAGTTTATTTGTTTGCTTGAAATATTTGACTAATAATTTTCTAAATTTTACGTATATTTTTAAATTGTATTGTATTTTAAAAATTAGCAGTTTGAAAATATTTCAAATCTTTAAATATAAAGTAATAACTGTACCGAAGTAAACCAGTGAATAATAAGCTAAAACAATCCTATTACATTTTGCAGCATACCCTTACTCTTTTAGATTGTGGTCTGGGTTCTATTTTTACATCGCATTTTTAAGTAGAGGAGAAGGTGGTATTATGGAACACTGCGGGTATTATGGAACCACCTCATTTCGAACTGATGATAAAGGCGAACTGTTGCGGAATGTGGCTGAACTGAACTAGGCAGACATCCATGGCAAGGGGAAAACCCGTTATACTTCAGTTAAACAGTTGTTCCTATTTAATCAGCTAATTTGTTTTTTTTTTCAAAATTCGCAAGTTTTGAATGCTTAGTGAATTTAATTATTTTTAAAATATAAATCGTGTAGTTGTAGGTTCACCAGTGCATGTATTCCGTTTCAGAGACTTAGGGGTACGTATTAATCTGTGTGATGTTCACGGTTTTTAAATTTTGGTTATGACAGACATAAGTTAATTCAAGATGGCGATGCGTGAAATATGGACCCCATTGGTGCTTTTACAGTAATATGGAACTCAACTCCTCCGAACTTTCTATTTGCAAGCAGACATTCTTCCAGAGCAATTTGTGAAAAATACACTAGGTAGAAAGCCAATTCTTCCCGAGAATATCGAAAAAGATCTGCTGGAATATATATTGTTGACGGAGGTCATATTTTTCTATTATAAAAGCATTTTTGCGATAAAATACATTGGAGTAAATAATTTGGTAATTATTTAACATTTTTTGTCCTTTCCTATTTGTTTTTGGCTACATTAAAGCATTTTTTTTGAAAATATACAGTAAGGTTCCATATTACCACCCGATTTTCTCTAAGCCTACTTTCGGACTTTTTGTACAAAAGCCTTCAAAAACCATACTTATAATTACACTAGCGAAAAATCCAATTACGGACATTTAGTTTACTAGTTACCGGTACTTTTCGCACAAAAACTGTGGGTGTAGTTATGATACCTTGTTTACAATTCACTAAAATGTAATTGGGGTTTCATAATACCACCTTCTCCTCTACTGTTTAAGATTAAAATATGTTATCAACGCTATAATAGAAATAACTGGAAAAATATATAAGGCAGTGAAATAAGTTAATTAGTCAAATTAGTCAAAAACAATTGATATCCAAAGTAAAACATCTGAAATGTAAAAAGTTATTGCGCCGAGTAAAAATTATGGTACACGAAATAAAAGCCAAATTTTCTTTTCGGAACTTTGATAAATATGAGCTTGGAGCTTCGAAGTGATATTATATGCGCTTACTTTTTAGGGGCGACTAACTAGAATTGTTCGGTGGTTTTATCATCTCGGCCACTGTTGGTCCTTATATTAATAAACACTATTTTTTAAAAGTATAGAGAAATGTCGTGTGAGATGCGCATAACATATTATTTTTTAATCAAACTGCTTTTATGAGTTAATATTATTTTAATATCTGAATTTATCGAAGTGTCTATTTTAAAAAAATGTTTAAATGCCAATTTTTTAAAATACATTATTTTACTTCACATTTTACCAATAGTAAAATTCAAAAGCGGAGTCGCAGGAGGCGAAAACAAATTTATTTGTTACCACTTTCCATAAAAACGTCTGAAACTGGCGACTCTAACTCACTCCATAACACTAGTTCCAAGTGTGTTATTGAATAAAAAAAAGAATTCACGAACTAAAATATTATATCGCTTTCTTCTTAATACAGGTCTTAATTACATTTCTTTTATAATCCCTATTTCGCTAATCTAAATTTTTTTTAAACAAGCAAAGAAGCATTACCAAAAATTATATATGGGATATATATATATGTATAATAGTTATATATGTAAGTAGTTATATAATATAGTTATAGTTAATATAGTTATATATATATATATATATATATATATATATATATATATATATATATATATATATATATATATATATATATATATATATATATATATATATATATATATATATATATATATATATATATATATATATATATATATATATATATATATATATATATATATATATATATATATATATATATATATATATATATATATATATATATATATATATATATATATATATATATATATATATATATATATATATATATATATATATATATATATATATATATATATATATATATATATATATATATATATATATATATATATATATATATATATATATATATATATATATATATATATATATATATATATATATATATATATATATATATATATATATATATATATATATATATATATATATATATATATATATATATATATATATATATATATATATATATATATATATATATATATATATATATATATATATATATATATATATATATATATATATATATATATATATATATATATATATATATATATATATATATATATATATATATATATATATATATATATATATATATATATATATATATATATATATATATATATATATATNTATTAATAGAAAAGAAAAGCATTTGTGCGTACAATTACTTTGTCAGCGAGATAACCTGTGATATACTTTATCTATGGAGTAAGCATGTTTTCTGAAAAAGTAGAGCCTGGCCGCTGCCAATTAGAGAACGGAAATTATCAGTATTGCTTATATCAATAAAGAGTAATACCAAAAGTTCACCTATAAAATAGATGAGAAAATTCTTCGTGGACATTGTGCATAGCTGGATAAGCTAGTTTTTTTTTATTAGAAATGTTATATTCATTGCACAAGTCGAAAGCTTTCATACGAAAATTATTTTTCAAGTATGTTACTGTATGATTACATAATTGAAAAAAATTTACCACACCACAGGAAATAAACACGCTTGCAAGTTAATAACACTATTCTGCTGCAATTTCACAGAAAGTATTTTTGCGCCTACTAAAACCAAACTTGCTCAAAGATGATTTTTACCAATACAATATGCATATAAAATTTTTTAACAACTCAGCAAAGCAAACAGAGATGT